TACGGTGGCTCTGGGCTGGGTCTGTTCATCTCTCGCCGGCTTACGGAGCTGCAAAATGGAGCAATTGGAGTGCTGAGCCAGTCCGGCGTGGGGTCAACGTTTGCCTTCTACATTGAAACATATGTCCCCAGCGATGAATCGAGGAACGAAGCCCTAGCTACTGCGGCGGCTGCTAAACTAATAGCAAGCACTGATGGCTCAGAAACCGCGGACGGCAAGCGACCTTACCGTGACATTCGACTGCAGCGACATCAGAATCCTGGGGGCAACGTCCGGCTTGATGGGATCCTGGTAGTGGAGGACAATCTCATCAACCAGCAAATCACGCGGCGTGGTTTGACAGATCGGGGCTACACGGTGGACGTGGCAAACCATGGAATCGAGGCGCTGGACAAACTGAAACGACGTCAAGGAGTGGCACCGAGACTCAGCCTAAGCATCGGCGGTGGCAGTAACATGTCAGGGAGGAGTAGCACGAATCCACTGCCGATTGCCATCAACCTGGTGCTGATGGACATCGAAATGCCGATCCAGGACGGGCTGACGTGCACACGCAAGATTCGAGAACTCGAGGCCAGCGGAGAAGTGTTTTGCGCGTCAGGAGGGCGAATCCCGATCATTGCGGTGACGGCCAATGCACGACCTGAGCAGGTGATGGAAGCAAAGGAAGCTGGGTGCGACGACGTGTTGGTGAAGCCATACAGGATCCCAGAGCTCATTGAGAAGATGCAGGTGGTGGTACGGCGCATGGGAGGACTCAGTCCGAATTCTCCTGTGAGGTGATTAATAGGATAGAGATGGGCTGGAAAACAGTTACAGCCCTGATAGAGTGGAGAGGTCAGGGGCAAGATTTGGGGCGACGATGCAACGACATTCAAGTTATACGGGCGAGTGGTTCTCTAGGCAGCTCTTTTCAGTGGTGACAAAAGGGGCCGGGTCAACAAGACAACCAAGGGTAAAGCGTTGGATCACCCTTTCAGGTTTTTGGCATAGTCTGGAGTTATGGCGAGTGAGTTTGAGCACGGGGCGATCGGGCTTCTGGGCAACATTGGGAGCGATTGATTTATGGTATTATATGGCCTCTATAGCTAGGCACTGAAAAGTAACATTGCCGATCCAGCCTCGGGGTAGGATTGGGTAGAAGAATTCGAAGACATTTGTATAATTGGTGTTGATATGACTTGAAGTTATCAAGTGGGATGGCCGGACCCCCACCGGGCCGGCTGGGGCCGGAAACCGGCAGTTGAGACGGGAGCTCGGGACAAGAATCGGGGATTGAGCAGCACAAATTGGGGTTGTAGATACAAGGGACAATGCAGGGGATAATTGAAAATAGTATAGCATGTTTAACAGTCATTATCAAGTCAGTATGAGGTGTAGATAGTGAAGCTGTTATTGAATGGAGACAGCGAATGGTGACATCACTCATTTCGATTGGCCGGGAAATGGCGTTGTTGTTGCTTCTTGCCCCTCCTGTCCTCGGCTTCCCCCCGCATAACTTCCGTGACAAGGAAAGCTCCCACTTCTTTTCATCAACTGTTGTTGCAATCCCTTCATCAACGGCTCCATTTCCTATCAATCACAGAGTAAGTCATGACTCTTCCTTGCATAGCGTCATTTCGGTCTTATCTCACCGAGACGGCGTCATCTCTGGCCGAACCCCAGCTAACAGCTTCCCGCTACACAGCTAGTTACCCCGCCATCGCGACTCGAGCTTCAGCGTTGCCCATCATGTCGACTATGCCCGCGTCCCACGGCCATAATGAGGCCTGTTGCAACATCCCTCCCGTTGTTTCCTCGGGATACGAGGCCAAGGGAACCTACAAGGAGATTGGCGGATACAAGACTTGTACGGCTACCCCTGTGAAGCAGAGATGGAGAAACAGCTAACATGGAGTGCTTGACAAGACGTCACCGGTCCTCTTGACGCCAAGAAGGCCATCGTAGTCATCTACGACATCTTTGGATACTTTGACCAGACCGTGCAGGGCGCAGACATTCTCGCTTTCAGCGACGCCCACAACAAGTACAAGGTCTTTATCCCTGACTGGTTCCAGGGCAAGCCTTGCCCCATTGAGTGGTAAGTTCTACTGTTGATGCTTCAACAGTAGAGGAGGATTGCTAAGTACGGTGGTATAATATCAGGTACCCTCCGGACACGGACGAGAAGAAGAAGAACCTCGGCGAGTTCTTTGGAACTTATCCTCCTCCCAAGATCGCCGGCCTGGTGCCCGACTACGTCAAGGCTGTCTTGGAGCAGGACTCTGCCATCTCCAAGACTGGTATTCTCGGTGTATGTTGATTCTACTCTTAAAAATCATTCGTCTTCTGACACTGGATAGTACTGCTGGGGCGGCAAGGTTGTGTCCCTCACCACAAAGGCCGACACCAACCCCTTCTCCGTGGCTGCCTCGATCCACCCTGCCATGGTTGACGCCGCTGATGCCGAGGGTATCAAGACTCCCACCATCCTGTTGGCCTCGAAGGAGGAGCCCGATGAGGAGGTTAAGAAGTTTGAGAATGCCCTGGCTGGACCCAAGTACGTCGAGACCTTCAAGGACCAGATTCACGGCTGGATGGCAGCTCGCGCCGATCTTAGCGACGACCGGGTCAAGGAGGAGTACGAGCGAGGCTACAAGACGGTTCTCAAGTTCTTTGGCGAGAACTTTTAAGTAATGTGAATGTATCTAGCCAAATATGAGACATGAAATGGAAATAAATAACCATGCAAGAAACTTGATGCCCATCTATAAATATCAGAACTCGGTTGGTGTGTATTCGGGCTTGTCTATTATTCGTGGCTCTCTTATTGCACATTACAATGCATCGGTTGCGTCCTCGCCAAAAGCCAAGACTTGTTCTATGTCTAACATCTTGAAATCGCCAACCTCGACGCCTTCTCCATTCTCTCCTCTCCTCACTGCGGTTGAGATCATGTACTCTCCCAACAGTGGCACTAGCTTTATATCAACATCCTTCACCTCACCCCTCTTGAACCAAACCTCTTGCGGGCCAGTCATGTCCTCGGGCGGTGCAAATCCTCGCATCTCTAGGTCCTTAAGCCAGCTCGCAAGAAGGGCCTCGCCTGTCATCTTGACGTACGCCTCACGCAAACACCAGAGAGCGTAAAAGTACCGCAGGGCACGATCACGTTCAGCGACGTCGGCGCTAGGGTTGAGCTTCTTCAGCGTCGTCACCTCCCCAAGACCAAAAACCTCAGCGTGCATGTCGACAAAGCTGTTCCATCCCTCCCCTGCCAGAGTCCCTAGATCGCGGGTTCTCCTTTCAGTTGGACATACAACGTCGACGCCCACGGCTAGACCCTTGGGCGGGTTGTGAACGGCAAAGAGCACGGCGAGACCAGCCTGGTGAGAGACGTTGAAGAGCAGGGGTTCATCGCCAGTTGATGTGAGAAACACGGGTTTGGTGCGGGCGTCGCGGGTAGTCTCAGCCTCAGACCAGGGCACGCCGCAGAAGCGTGAGATGGCGTACCGCTTAACGAGGGCCGACGCGAGGGCTAGTTTCGCATCGCGGACGTGGTAGTACCGGAGCACGGAGGCTTGTTCCTGCTCCGTGAGGAGGGATAAAGCACGCGAAGCCTGGTATCTCATCTCATGAGACGCTGGCGAGAAACCTAGCATGGGGTGAAGAACAGGGGAGTTTTGACTTACAACCGTGGTGAGATCCTTGGTGTTGGCTGCTGATGGCCAGAGTGGACGGGTGTCGATTACCCACTGGATAACTGTTGGGGTCGATTCACCCATGGCTGATAATGAACGAGATATGGAAAAGGTGAAAGTGTGAGACTCAGGTTTCGGCTGTGTTTGAGGTGAGACAGTCTCATGTGATGAGATGAGATGAGATGAGACTTCGGGAAGCCGATTGCGAAACCCGGCGTGTCGGAGGTGGGGGCCCCGGCCGAAACACGGGCCGGAGACGAGTTCACATCGGCAACTAACCTACCCGTGAAGTTGAATAGATATAAAATAGATGAAGAAATTCCCTTTTTTTTTTTTTTTTTGTTCTTGTACTCCTCAGCGGCTTCTTCAACCTTCAAATCAACAAGAAGCCAGCTCCGCAGTCGAGTCTTGATTTGCAAGATTCCTGCGTTCTTCTTATACTCTTTCTCGACTTATACAACCAAACCACCATCGTTCAGCCATCGACTTACCTCGGCTGTTACGATGATCGAAAAGAGTTTTACATTGTTTGCTCCGCTCAAGAGTCGAGTCACATTATGTGATTCCTCCAAAAGCGTAGAAGCACCATATCTTTCACGTCTTCCTGCCGTTTCACAGGGCGGGGCGCCAGCTCTGCGGCAGTCGAGGACATTTAGTTCTCGTCTCTTTCACTCCATTAGGATTCTTTTCTGTTGGAGAAGAAGAAGAGGCTAGAGGACTTTACACCACTGGATGTTTTTATCGCTGAGCCTGAAGTGTTGATGATCCATCAGTTTACGAGTCCACCATGACTGGGCTGATGATGCGAATCCGCTGGAAGTTGTCTCGTGAGCCCAGTGAAGCAAAGTTGTGCTCTCACCAGAAGATTGTTTTCCGTACAAGCAAGGATCTCAACCACATTCTTTATTGAAAGTGGTTCCTTGTTTGGACGTTGAGATGCTTCTAGTGTCACAGCCACTTTGGTTTTTTTTACAACCCGCCCATCTTAACGCCGACTGTTGGGCAAAACACACTACAAAGCCAGAGGAAGCCCGAACGAGGAACTTTTTCTATCTGACGAGATGGGGAATTTCTCCTGTTTGGGTGGATGGTTGACCCCTGCAAAGAGTCTAAACCTTTACGTGGTGCAGGGGATTAAGGACGTTGAAAGATACGTCTACTAATATAGACTCGAAGAAGTGGGAAGGGGGAGAAGCTATAATGATAATGGTATCAATGTTTAATCAAGACAATGTAATTATAATTAATAAATCAACAACACCTAAACGTCCGTTGCTCAGGTCTCATATCCCAACCCGTGCACAATAGATTCACTGACACTCAACTCTCCTCATCTGAGAGCTCATATGGCTCGCTCATGACCCGTCGGATGTATTCCCGCCCTGTGATAAACGATCTCGGGTATGGTCTATTAGGGATACCGGTCATCCACTCCGGCGCCGGGGTGCGTGGCCTCCTCCCTCTCCGACGACGATGTCTCGTATTGTTGATCCTCCGGTTTCTCTCAGCTTGTATTAAAAACGACACCAACATCGCACTGTAAGCGCTGCTATCGGCGTCCCCGCCCCCAGAAGAAACCTCAGAGACAGGACCTGCATCTTGTTGCAGCTGGTCGAGGGGCACCAGGGGTGGCAAGTCGTCAAAGTTGCCTGGTGAGATTTCGAAAGAAATCATGGATCCCTCGGCGATGGAGGCGGTAGGGCTGTAAATGTTGGCATCAACGGGTTGGTAAGGCTTCTCGTCGACAGAATGAGATGAGTCGACATTGTTTTCCAAAGAAGAACCGATCTCGACGTCATCTTGGACCGTCTCATGTTGTTGAGACGCATCCTCGTTGTTGTCGACGTCATCTTGGAGGATCCGTTGCTGTTGAGACTCATCCCCACGGTTCTCTTCACTTTCTTGAATGACACCTTGTTGTTCAGAGATGTTCTCGTCATCCATCTCCTCTTCGTCACTGTCCTCTCCACGACGCTGTCTCTTGGTAGGGGGGCTAGACTCATCCGTCTCCTCCGCGGCAGCCTCGGATTCTTCCCGGGAGCGTTTATCTTCCGAAGAGGAGCTTGGATCAAGGTCCATGTCGGCCAAAGACTCGGAAAGATTCGAATCGTTGGTGTTATCAGGGGCGTTCAAGTCGTTTGTGATACTGGCAAGATTCGAGTCCGTCATGATAATGGCGCTGGAGGTGCACGATAGAACGACTGGGAGTGAATGATAGAGTCGAGAAGAAAGGGAATGGGAAGAGGCAAGGGAAAAGGACACATGTAAACTGAGAGAATACAGCATATAATGTATTCATGGAAAGGTGCACAGTTCGGGCAATTAGAGGTATTGGTTTTCTAATCGGCGCTCAGACTGATGTGTCTATCTGAACCTACCCCAGCTCCCCAGGGTCTGGATAGCATCCAAAACCGTCTCCGACGGGTACCTTTGGTCAGTCACTAAACACCGAGTCTGAACTGCTTTACGCCGTGGGAATGTTCATGAGTTTCGCCAAAGCCTTGGAGTATACACAGTCTCGCGGGTTGAGGGGGAAAACACGCCTGTATAATAAACGCTTAACTTGTACTTCCATAAAGATGATTAAAAAAAAAACCCCAAGGATACGCAAAGAGCTCTAAAATATAACCTTATTCTTAGATATTTCAATATTCATTGTCATGCTTGAAAGGAGTTGGGTAACCCGCTTGAATGCGCTGGTCTCGTTTATTTCTGAACTACGGGAGAGTCTCTCTATCCAGCGTCCGCTGTGTCTTGTACTCTAGCCATATCTACAAACTCTCCGCTTCTATCGAGAGTAAAAACACCTTATGTCCTCCCTTTCCATCATCCTTCTTGCTGTCCTTGTCCTTGGTATCCTTTTCATCCTCCTTCTCATCGTCCTTCTTGGTCGTATCGACAACACCATCCTTGAGCTTGCCTATCGTCTTGATGGCATTTCCCTCACCATCAAGATCCACCACCACATCGATCGTGTCAAGACTGCCGTCCTCGGTGTATTTCCACATCTGCTTAATCTCCCCCCGCACAAGACCTGTCAGCCACAACGAACCGAGTACGCCCGGGACCAGGTACAGTAGCGCAGGTTGACCGCGCTTAAACACCAACAGCATGGCCAAGGTAACGAGCATGCCCAGAAAGTACCCGAAAATGGAGGCATAAAAGTATGTCTTTGGGAAACGGGCCGCCTCCAGCTCGGCCGGCAGCTGTTTCGCCCCAGAGAGAAACAAGGGGCCCCGCGTCCAGAGACTGTCGCCCCAGTTTCCTTTGACGTTGACATACTTGGCTTTGACCTCCTTGTGCTTGACCTCGCTCCGCGTCACGACTGCCCCCGCCGAGTCCTTCTCGATCAATTTCAACTCGGTGCTCTCGTATTTCACCTTGCGAATGTAATGACGCCAAAGGTCAAACCGCAGAGCCAGGGCCATGACCATACCAGGAATAACGATATCGCCCAGACCAAGAATACTCTTGCGGTCTGCAGTCTCGAAAGTGAGCTTGATTGGCACATCCAGCTTGGTAGCGACTGTGACCATGTAAGGTCTAATCCATCAAGTTAGTTTGAGAACGTTGTCAACACCGGGGCCAGTGAAACTTACGTGTAGAACACCATGAAAATGTCGTAAAAGAACAGTCCAACCAATACCAGAGTGCTAGTCAAGAAATCGGTCGGGGAGAGCAGGAGGAACGACCCATAGCACATGGCATAGCCAAGCATATTGGCCAGGAAAGGAGACGTAGTGGATGTGTAGACAAGTGCAGTGACCAAAGCCGAGAACAGAGCCAACATGTGCGCAAACTTGATCTTGCCCTCCTCCTTGCCCATACCGTGGATATAGAGTTTAACAGTCCAGTGTTGGGTCAGGAGGTCGCGGAGCTCCCATCCTGCCTTGCGAGCTCTCTCGGAAAATGCGAGCCAAGCTAGAGGGCCGGGAAAAGGGTTTTTGGTCGCTGTGACTGCCGTAGGGTTTCCCACAGGGTCGCACGTCTTGACAGATCTCGTCTCTTGGTCCACGGCCATCAGAGTGCCGTTCCGCCCACGCCAGTACCGTGGAAACACAACACTCGTGAGTAGCTCGATCCCATGGGCGTAGAGGGAGAGCAAGCTGGCGATAGACATGGTTGACATGTACCAGCGGAGTATCTTGTTCAAAATGTTGGGGTCCTGAAGCCACTGAATCAAGTAGTACAGACCGACAAGGACAAAGCCGGCCATGAGGGGAAACATGATGGCATCCGAGGGCTCCAGTCCTTGAGAGAAGCGCTCGTCATCGTCCTTGTCCCCAGGCTTTCGCTTCTTGGCCGGCGCTGCGGATGGAGGTCTGCGTAGGGCTGCATGGGCGCCCAGGTAGATGATGCCGATGGCGCTGAAGACGAGCTTGAGCTCGAGAAGGAGAAAGTCGAGATCCTGCAGGTACTCGACGGCCGAGAACCAGCCGGCCTTATCCTCGATAGTCGCGTTCAGGCCGTCAAAGGCCGTTTCTGTCGTGTTTTCGGCCATGGCTTGAGGTTGTGCTGTGGGATGTTGGGAAGAGCAAACGTGTTCTAAGCCTCAGAAAATGACTTGACTAGCTGCACGGTGTGTCATAGGCCCCTGCTCATATCAGATAATTACGACAGTGAATAGATGCAAAATTGAAGAATGAAAGTCAAGTTGAGTCCGTGAATCAGAAACGCGACTAACAATCTTGTAAGAGAATGAAAGAAGAGTGTCAAATGACGTCGGTTCTGTTGCGCTGCCCTGAGGCTGAAGAGGTCCGCTGTCACTTTGGAGCCAGCAAGGCAGCCACAGCCCAGCACCTTAGGTGAAGGAAAGAACGAGACGCCAGAATAGCAATGAAGGCAGATTTCCTCTGAAGCATTAGTATTCATTTATGTAAAATTTACCAAAGTAACACAAAATATCTCCTTATGAGTAATCTTTGAGAAATATTCTATCCATATACCATTAGCTACCTACGTTGAGGAGAGGATACGCAAATACCTTCCATCGCGTTCGAGTCTCGATCTTTTTGACCAACGTGCCCGGACAAGGATGGAAGGTTTTAGCGCTAGAGTCAATGAGCGACCAATCGTTCCACAGGGAGCTAAACCACCAGGAACAGCGCCATCGCCAGCCTTGTCCCAAGCAATTCATGCCCCTCCATCCAAGCTCAAACATTTCAGTACAACAAAACAATCATGACAACCAACATTCTAATGGAGACCACAATGGTACGCATACTCTACATACTAATAACACCGAGCTTTGTCCCGCTAACTTTAACGTCCAGGGCTCCTTCACCCTCGAGCTCTACACGTCCCACGCGCCCAAGACGTGCAACAACTTCGCGACGCTCGTTCGCCGCGGTTACTACGACGGCACCGTCTTCCACCGCGTCATTCCCAACTTTATGGTTCAGGGCGGCGATCCTACAGGCACTGGACGAGGCGGCACTTCCATCTACGGTGACAAGTTCGCCGACGAGATCGACCCGTCCCTCAAGCACACCGGTGCTGGCATCCTCAGCATGGCCAACGCAGGACCCGACACCAATGGCTCCCAGTTCTTTGTCACCCTCGCTCCTACTCCCTGGCTCGACGGCAAGCATACCATCTTTGGGAGGGTCAAGTCTGGCATGGGAACCGTTCGCAGGATGGGAATGGTCACCACAGGGCCTGAGGATCGACCTGTCGATGACCTCAAGGTTGTCAAGGCTCGCATTGTCGAGGAGGAAGAGCAGGTATAGACCAGAGGCTTAGAAAAAAGGCGTTTGAGAGGTTAGAATCTTGGATTACATGCTTGGCGTTGAGGAGTTGAGGCAATATCGATGACAGTCACGCATCACTACAATTGCACAGAGAAATCTTGAAAATTATCCATTCTTGTACGTTCAACGCCAAAAACGCCCCGGTCCATTTTCCGTGGATGCTGTGAATATCTGGTCCCGGTCCCTAGCCAACCAAACCGCCGTTCCAATGCAGTGCGTTTGTGAGAATAATACACGTAGAAGAAATATCCTCGAGAAGCAAATCCGTCCCCTGATCGCGCGTTGTGCTGCCTGCCTCTATCCGTATCCAACCAAAAATCACCTTGACCAGAAAGTAAGACAAGCGTCAACATTGCCATCAACAAAGACGTCTCGGAGTCAGCCTTACTGAGGTGGCGACGACAATGTGTCTGAAGACTCCGACTCCCCGGTGGCCTCCCGGATGAGATTGGGCTTGGGCTTGGGTGAGCCCAGATGAGGCTTGCTCAGCTTGAGCTTCTTGACAGGACTGATACCCTTAGACACCACCTTCTTGGGGGCCACCTCGACTGAGTCTCCTTTTGAGTAGTCGGCCTTTTGCTCCTGGCTCAACGAGGAAAGACCCTTGGTCTTTTCCTTTTTGAGGCTCGGCTTCGTCTTCAGGATGACCTTCTTGGTAACTGACGTGGGCTTGAGCTTCTTCTTCTTGTGGCTGTTCTCCGAGTCTTCCTCTTCCTCGCTTGCGTCGCGCTTCTTGGGGCTGGCGGCGCGAGAACCCGGCGCGGGCGTCGCCTTTTGCGATGAAGGCGGCGTCGGGTCGTTCTGGGATCCGCCGTTGCTCAACTTCTGCGCCGCAGCTCGGCTGGCGTTGCGGCCACTGTTGCCGATGCAAGAGCCCATATGGTTATTGAGTCGGGTGACGAGAATGCAGCGTTTACACTTGCTACAGGTGGCTGATGGGAATGACAAGACGTTGGGTGGTCGCTGTTCGGGCGCAGGAGAATCGGCGTTTTTCTCCATGTCCTTCTTCTTCTTGCCGCGACCGGGACCTGGTCCGACCCAGCTCTGTCCGTAGATGTCGCATCCCGGCTTATCGATGTAAGGGTGCTTCTTGCAGTAGATAATACTCGGGTCGGGCTTCTGAGCGCCTTTGCCGTCGGTAGGATATAGAAGTCGAGGAAGATGGCATCGGGGGCATAGGATCTCAGCCGTCGTCTTGAGGGGGTTGCCCTTGAGCAAAACCTTGCCATCCTCGTAGATGGCGGCATCTGTCTCGATCCGTACATCTGGTTTCGAATCGGGGGTCGAGCTATCGGACGCATCGGATGCCAGCTTCTCGACTCGGATGGCAGCAGTGGTGGCCCTCGCCGTCTTCTCCTCGCGGTGCGTCTTCATCAACAAATCGCAAAGGACGTTGTAGAGCACATCGTCTAGTACAGAGTGTGCCTAAGCATCTCCAGCATTAGCCATACAGCCTAACAGTCAGAAATCCCAATGAAGCATCATCTGTATAGGGGTCGCAGAGGTGATTCATGTCGACGCAGGCGATGGCGCTCTAGGACGTCCCGTGAAGGGAATCGCAGGGAGGTCGAGATGAGATGCGAAAGGGCTGATGAGATGAATGCATGCTTACCAACTTGTCCATACTACCGGCATCATCGCGAGCGCGGATGATGCCCGCCCTGCCCGTGCCAGAATTCATGATGTTCGCCGGGGAAGCAAAGAATCCGAGCCAGGGCCGACGAATTTGTCAAGCGGAGGGTGTGTAACTGGAATCGTGTGATGATGCCGAGGAGCGAAACGGCAGCTACCGGGCGGAGGGGGGGGTGTGCACGGAATTCCGGCCGGGGTAGAGTTGTAAAGGGAAAAAAAAGTTAGAGATTCGCGGGAGAGGAATTGGAGAGTGTGAATGCTTGGGGAGAAGAAGCTTTCAACAGTAGTGGAAGAGGAGGAGGAATTAAAATATGAAGAGGGTAGTAGGAGCAGGCAAGTCGTAGTTCAATTCCATCCGAAACGGGAAGAATAAAAAAAGTGACAAGATAAACAAAGGTTGACAATCAACGGGAAGCTGCACAATAGCTGAGGTTCTATTGTCTGGTTCGGGCTGTCCCCCAATCTGTTTGTAGGTAATAAACGGCGGGTGAGAGCAGCAACCGGACGAGACTCTATGACGGTTTCCTGCCTCGTGATTGGGAGTTATTAATGTTAAGAGCAGTAATAAGAAAAACAGAAACCCCAGAAAGAAAAAAGACAAAAGCCCAAAGATGGCCCGCCAGTGTCAAAAAACGGTTGAGAAATTGGATGTTTGTTCGTGTTGGACGATGGAAGGATGACGGAAGAGCAGAAGGGGGACGACGGGGAAATTTGCAGGTGCCTTGAGGTGAGCCTCAGCAGAGCCAGCAGCCGGTGCAGGTGCCACCACTGAAACCCAGGTGGGAATAGATCTCGGAAAGGAAAATCAACAGGCCCATGAGCCAAGGAAAGGACCAGAGCAGCACCAACTCAGCGGTGCATATTAGCCTGCACTATTACACTGCTACAAGTAGATTATGAGGGGATACAAAGTCTATGGAAGTGATGATGACTGCATAGCTTGTCTTGAGGCCAGATCTTTTAACATGAAGCTTAAAAATGCCCATGACGGCAAGCTGTCCTCCAAGACTGTTTCTTGGCCTCCATCAGAATGAGTGAATAAGTGCCTGGCCACCCGCGATCCCGCACGCTAGAATAAGCCTACGGCCCCCTAAACTCTCAGGGGGCGGGGCACCCGACTTCAGCCAAGGTACCAAACGCAAGACACCAGGAGCCTCCAGTTTGACGCATTCCCCCTCGTGCTGCTTCTGCGAATGACGACGCAGCTCTCATGGTTCTCACGTGGGATTGGTCCCTTGAACTGATCCCGAACCTAAAAAGAATCCAATCCGGTCCCCCCAGGAATCCCATCGATCTGGGTGGCTAGAGAATGCCCATGGTCACTCTCCCTGCGCTAGTGCAGTTCCAGTTCATGTTAGAGCCTCTCTCTCATTGCTCCAATCCAATTCCTTTTTTTTGCCCTGTCCATACAAACTAGAGGCCAACTTGACGCAAGCATCCATACAAGAAAAACAACATTCCTGCTTCTTTACATCCTTACATTGCTGGCATCTTTTTCTGGCTCGTGCGGCTGAAGCGACCTTAAGTTGAGAGCTTCTCTCTCGCTCCCTCCCCTGTCTTTTTTCTGTTTCCACCATCTCTCTCCAAAACCTCCAACCCAACGAGAGATACCTACCTTCAAGTGCATATATATACATCGCCAACATGTCGCTCCCGTCGACCAAACCCGCCCAGCTCTCCATCCGCTCCTTCTTCCAAGCAAAGACTCCGAAATACGCTCCTCCGCCCTCTGCCGCTCTCTCAACACCTCCTCCTCCGCCGCCGCCGCCGCCGGCAGCATCTGCCCCTCCACCAGCCGTATCTCCCCCCTCTGAGCAAGAGCAAGCCGACGAGACATCAACGTTCGAACTCCCACCTCTGCCAACGTCTCTCCCACCAGAAGCCGACATCCGCCTCGTCTCGCCCTCTGACATCAACGCTTTGCGCCGTATCAACGCCCTCCTTCTGCCCGTCAGTTACCCCGACAACTTCTATCAGCGCGCAGTCGATCCCGCCGCCTCCGGCCGCTTCTCGCGCGTCATCACATGGGCGCATGACGACGCGGAGCCCAAGGTGGTGGGCGGAGTCGTCTGTCGCATTGAGCCCATTCTCGACTCCAAGACCCATGGTCAGGTGCCGCAGAACCTCTACATCCAGTCCCTCTGCCTCCTGTCGCCGTACCGGTCCCTGGGATTGATCAATGCCGCTGTGGATAACATCATTTCGACGGCCGTGTCGGATTCTAGTCTCGACGTGGCCTCTGTCACGGCGCATGTCTGGACTGAGAACGAGGAGGGCCTCAAGTGGTATGAAGGACGCGGTTTCAAGAAGGACGATCAACCTATTCGCGGCTACTATCTTAAACTCCGCCCCGACTCGGCCTGGCTGGTTCACCGTCCCGTCGGCGCCTCCGTTCGAAGCTCCCTGCCTTCTTCGTCATCATCGGCAGTTCCGCCCTCCATTCCCGCCAGCACGACTGCTGCCGTGGTGAACCTCCCTCCCATGTCAGGCCCTCCTAAGGATGGAGCCTCCAGGCCACCACTTCCCCCCTCAGGTCGATCCTATCAGAATTCACGCCCCGAGACGGAATGGAATGACATGCCCGAAGACATGGTGGGTGGTCTGTTGGTGCCACCGGGTCGCAAGCCTCTTCGTGAGACTGGCTCTGGCGCAAGCTCGAGAAGCAGCTCGACGGCACGAAAGAAGAGAGATCGCTCTTACCCTGCTGCCGCCTTTGGCAGTTAGAGCATGATATGGTAGAAACAAGGTCGAATTCAACTTGCCTAGAAGAGAAAAACAAGAAACGCTTCATGAAAGAATATGGTGTTAACGGACAGCATTGGATAGATGGACCTGGTAAGAACGACATTGATAAATGAATACATAAATACATAAATAAACAAATAGACGCCACAGTTTGAAAAACATGATTCACTTCCCTGGAACCTCATATCATGAAGAAACTGACCAATCATAGAATTCTTTTCGTCATAATCAACTGCCTCATACCCATACAGTTTTTGATGCGAACAACGCGAAACGTAACGTTTGAGACAAGAGACGCCAAAAGTCCCCAGGAATCAACATGAACACGTCTTTCCCATACACATATATACATAACACTCACTCAGTAGCGAGGTGAACACCCTAACATGGCCCAAGGCGCAAATGATACGATAGGACTTCCTACCGACGCTTGGTATACCAGAAAGCTGCTAGTGCGAGAGCACCAACGATACCGCCGACTACGAGAGCGGTGGTTGAGATTAGGGGTTCATCAGCTATCGAGAGTGTTAGCAGTGGTCGCTTCAGCTGATCTAGGGGGGATGAATGCAAAGGGAGGGTGCGGAATGCCGCTGAAATGAGATTTATGAGGTCACGTACCGATGGCATTGGACAACTTGCGGCCTCGATTGGACTCGGCCTTGATGTCGACCAGGTAGTCCTCGGGCTTCTCCCTGCCAGCAGCAACGAGAGCAATCAGGGCGGCGCCGACGCCGCTACCGTCCTTGGCAATACCAATACGGATCTTTTCGGCGCCCTTGGGTCCGATGCCGTCAATGGCGCGGAGGGCCTCATAAATCATATCGCGGAAGAAGGGGTAGTGCTCGACCAAGCTGCCATCGACACCAATGTCGATGACCTCCTCGTTGGGGTCTTCGAGCTTGCCAGACTGAAGAGCGATGGCGCCAATGGCAACCGCGGACAGTCTGGCGGCACGTCGGCCGACAGCGTTGGAGACGGACTTGAAGGCCTGGGCATCCTCGAGCGAGGGTGTGTAGACGTGGAGCAGGTTCTCCAGCTCCTGGCGAAGAGTGGACAGCTCGGGGGTGTTGTCAGCCGCCGCTACCGACATGATGGAGCTGTCAAGTCCCCAGGGCTTGAGGAAGCCGGATTGGGGCGCAATGTTGGTCGTGGAACCCCAATCGTTGGAGCTGGAGTTGAGATCCTTGAACAAGGACGATTTTTCGCTGTTAATCATGTCGGCCACAGCAAGTCGCACAATCTCGCCCAGGAACATGCCTGACACGCGCTTCTCAAACATTTGGTCGCCGGGGTTCACACTCTGGGCATCCAGGGCCTTATCCCATGCCGTTGAGGGGAGAACATTGAGCTGATTGTCGAAGGAGCCCCATTCTGTGTTCACCACCATCTCGCCCGTTGACTGGTCATAGTCGCCTGTAATGGGTTTCTTGATATTATCCAGCTTCTCCATGTAGGCGCCGTTGGTGCCAGTGCCGAAAATGGCACCCAGGATAGATCGGCTCTTGCCAGTCGAGGTATACGAACGAGCCATGAGCGTGCCAACAGTATCATTCACCAGCGCTGCAACCTTGACGGGGAGCTGGAGCTTGTCGATCTCGGTCTGGAGCAGTGCGCAGACGTCCTTGCCAACAGCATCGCGGATGTCGAAGCCCTTGGTCCATCGGATCAGCAGGCCCTTGTTAATGGCGAGCTGCTTGACGGGGAAGCTAAAAGTGAAGCCCAGGCGGAAGATGTGCTCGTCTCGGTAGCCCGAGGCGGTGCTGTAGGTGTTGCGCCGGCGCAGGTGGCTGTTGAAGTGCTCGGCATGGTGCTCCTTGAGGAAAACCTCGATCTGCTTGGCGAGGAAGGAGAAGAGCTCCGAAGAGGTCTTTGCGACCATGAGCTCCTTGGGGATGGCGACCTTGTTAAAGGTTAGGTTAAAGGTGGTGTCGCCGTTGAGCATGATGGAGCAAACTCGAAAGTTTGTTCCGCCGAGATCGACAGCAAGATACAGACCCTGCATGAGGAAAAAGTCGTGTCAGTTGAAGCTTCTGTCACTCGCGTGCGCCAGAATCTCACCTTTTCTGTGCCATTGGGAACGCCTGTGACATAGGTCGGGATCTGCTGGAGGCTGGTACCCTCCTGGGAGAGACCCTCGTCTGGAAAGCGCGCAAAAAATCAGTATCATGAATACGTCGAGGTAAATTTGGCGGTATGCGACAGAGCATCATGAGAGGGGAGCTCCCCCTGCAAGACGCCACATCGTTTGCGCCAAACGATAATGCAGTGCGTGCAGCGAAAGAGACGTACTCATCTGCCTCAAGAATTCCTTGACATGACGGTTCAGGTCGTCATTGCTAAAGTCGAACTCTTGGACGACACGGTTAGACTCGTCGGCGAGAGCCATGGCTATGGGTCGTGAGGTGGGCGGCGCGGTCGAGAAGGGAGAGGGAATATGGCAGACGGGTTCGGAGGCTGCAGGAGCAGGCGGCGAGGAGGAAGGATAAAGTCGTGGGAGTAAGAAGTGATGTAAGGATGAAGGAGAGAAGAGGAGGAGGAGGGAGGAAATTGAGAATGAAGCAGAGGTGGACAGCAAGTCTTGTCGCAGCGGGAGCCGGAGCTGCTGGAGCTGGTGCTGGTACCGCTGGGGAAACTGGAGCTGGAGCTTGGCGTCACCGTCACCGAGCACAAGCTGCGAGAGCTGCTGACGGATGCTGTGTCAGTGGCTGAGGAATGTCCAATGGCGGCCGCTGGTGGGGGGGCTTGGGGATCATGGATTGGGAAGAATAGAGAGAGGAGAGGGGCGTGGATAAGAACTCGGGAGAGAGAGAGACGAGACGGAGGTCAGCCCAGGGCATTAAGAGGTCGACCCAGGACGCCAAATGCAGGGACGGGGATGAGCATCTGAAGACCGAGAAAGCCCCCAAATTTCGGTGGATTCCAGAAGCTGGAACATCCATATCCATCCCATATTGGAACACCTGAGACGTCACCCAACCCCAAGCTTCGGCCGTATTACTCGCAGTTTTCCAAGGTTCCGACCTCGAGAAACAGACGGACTCTCCATGAGCTCCAGTTCACTTCAGTTGACCCAAGTGCCGCCGGCCGTGGAGAGCCCGCAAAGTGGAGAGATGGGTGCGGGGGAGACGTCCTCGAGGCTCCGCTAATACGCCGAGCTCGCCGCTTCTTGGGGACCTCAACGTCTTTTTTTTTTCCCTCGGGGCCGTAAGAGGCAAGGCATTGCAATGGATGGATGCCATCATCGTCTCGTGCAAATCTTGGCTGCCCCCGGTAGCAAGGTTTCGGTCAGGCCATGCATGATCTCGCCGAGCCCAGGCTTGCGGTACCCAGGTGAGGTGAGAAGAAGCATGGATCCAAGATTGCAGACTGCACCGGGGAACCAGCAGCTGCACGGGGGAGCGAGACAATTGATTGATTGACTGACTGATGAATGATGTATGGTGTGGGTGGTGGTGGGTATGCAGCGGGAACAGAGCTTGGACAGCCCCGGGGGGATGATGATATGATGGCCAGTAAAGATCATGTACCAGAGGGGAAAAAGCGACAGAGACAAAAACACTCACCACTAAGACGACGATAATAGCCACGCCTCTGAGAAACAACCCAGGCCATACACGTTTCCTCGCCTCGGCGCCACCTTGACGTTCACGTCCATGTCCATGTCCATGTTGGGCCCCCATTGTCTTGACACCACACCGAGCGAGGCCAGGACCCCTTGCAGTTCCTTTTCTCGTGGTTTGGGTAAACGGCGAACGGGTGTCCTGACTTGACCTCGTGCCCTTTTGCCAGAGTAAAACGACAACTAAAAAAGAAGCCGAGGGATGCGGGCGGAAACGTGCAAAAACAGGCGAGCGAACCCGCGATCTCCCCAGATTTCAGGCGTTACGTCGGCGTCTATTCGCGACCCCAGAACATGTTTCCCCGTCGCCGCCGCGATGGTGCAGGTGCAGCTTCGAGGTTTTTTTTTTTGCTGGCTGCTGGCAAACGGGCCGTCTCGTCCACAGCCACGTCTTGCAGTGCAGCTGACGGAGAAACCTCCCGTATACCCTACCTACCTATCAGGCACGAGACACCAAAAAGAGCGGCTTCGGCGCTGGGGGAAAATCTCGTGAGTCTCGGGCTATGTACGGATACTGCGCTGTACAAGAGAAAGTACCCGAGGGTTGGATCGACTGCCTCGAACGGTGTAGTTCCAGTAGGTAGGGCGTCTCCGTGTGGTGGCTTCAGCCTCAAGGACAAGGACAAGGACGCGGGCTGCACGACGCAAGGCACGGGTTGTTGCTGCACGTATCCTATCCTCGGAAATGCCGGGAAGATGCCACACTCGTTCGTTTCGAGAAGCAATCACTGATCTTTCGGTCAAGCCTGGTTGGCTACTGTGAAATGCGATGCGATGGCCAGGTCCCTCGTAGAGAACAGGGTAAAATAGGTCGATTTCTGGCCCTCGGCAGTGGCTGGTGTTGGTCCGATGACGGGGATCACGGTTTGACAATCCGCACCTTGAAAGTCGAGCCAAGAGGTATCGTTTTTCGCCCTCCTCTCAAAGGGTGTCTCTCGTAAGACATAGATCGCAGTCGGTTGGGCATTGGTGCAGAAGAGAAGCAGAAACTCGACAGGAAAGGGAAAAAAGAAAAGGGCAGAGGCGCTATAGATGCGGTCTCATAGCTAAGCTTCACACTCCATTCCCCATGACACCGCTACTTTCTGCACGACCCTCAAAAGAGGCGGTATACTTCCCGTGGGCAAGGGCTTCCTATCTACCTTGTCACGGATCTGTTCTTGTTGGATGATGTGAATCTGCTTTGACCTTTTTCTCATCAATCTGACACGAGAGGCATTGAATCTTTTATTCTCTTCATAATGGCACGCCTCCCAAGATATTCCAACCATCATGACCTCGAATACAACCCATGCACGAGTTCTTACTAGCGTTAGCTGTACCTCTAAGCCATCTCCAAAACCACTGGTTCTTATAAATTCTTGGATAATCCTCTCACTCGATTATCTAAAATGCATCTTGGGGTTATGTAAGTCTCACAATAATCACTCTGGCGTGTCTTTTCAACCTCTTGAGCAAATTCAAATCGAAGCAAAACTGTCATCAACCGCCTCCTCCAGACCCTAGCCCCGGATCCCCCACGTCCACCCCAGTTGACCAGGACTGGGGTCTCACCGAGGCCACGGGCTCAAGCTCGCAACCTCCAATGCTGGTCGGCCACCTTCACCGTGGTCTATTGCCAATCACTGATAGGCAGGGAAGCCAGTTGGACGCCTGTCATTGAAAAGGATGCCCCTTTCCGCCATCTCAGCACATCGAGGCTCGAGCTTTCAATATATCTGGTCAGCAGACACTCAATCTGCATTACCATGGACTGATCTTGAGATTGCTGTCTGTGCAAGACAACGAGGCAATCTGTCTTCACCCCTGAGTAAGGGCTGCTTGACTGATTCAGCATGAGCAATGGTATTGTGGAATTCATCTTAGATCAGAACTCGCTTTGCGAAACAAGGTGCAACACGAAGCACTAGATCTAGGAAAGACTACACGAGCTCTGAATCACTGCTGAACTCACCCACGGTGAATCTATGATTTCCTTTCAAAAAGGGCCATGACATACCCCAGGGTCAGCCTATGCTGCACATAGATCAAGAGGGCATCAGTTTGAGGACAGGCACTTTCTATGATTCATTCTCTAGATGAACACTCTGCAATACGATCGATCAAGAAGAGATAAATAAGGGTATTGTGCTTCAGAGAACAGAGCAAGGCAATGGACAACGCTTAGGTCTATCAAGATCCTGATGAGGCTGCATCACATCACTGCTGTGTTCCAGGTCTCAACATAGGCCCTCTGGTCGAGAGAGCAGAGCATCACGGCACTTACGCCAAATCAGTGTATGGCCATTCACGGCGAGGCATGTCTTGCAAATCACAGACAGGTTTCAACGATGCCACGACAATCAGCTCCCGGACTCACAATCACCAGGCTGCCGGGGGTGTTGTCAGGCGTCAGACTAGGCTGGTTACATTCACGATAGTCGAAGTCGGCAATCGTGTCTGAAACATGCTAAGCAGTAGCATCTTCGAGAATTCAGCCTGGAACAGCGGAACCAAGTTATCGGTCATGGTAAGACAGATGAGTGAGAAACAGACGTAGCGTATGAGACATAGGAGACGTCGATCACAACCGTTGGCAAGGTGGTTCCCGAAACTCGGGGCAGGATCATAGTACGAAACCTGTTCTGAGTCTGTCTCTCATATTGCCAAGTAGGTAGGTGATGCACATGGCAAGTCTTACCACGCAGCAACTCGTGAACATCCCCCTGCCATTCACCAAGACGGTTGAAGAAACACATCTCACTGAAAGCGTCAGATAGGGCCATGGTCAAGCCTCTCGCTCCGCTCATTCCTGCATTGGGAGATTGCCGCCTTGAGATCTTGTAATACCAGCCGGAAAGGAAGGCAGTCGATGATGGCGAACACCGCCTAGTTTGTTCGAATTCCAGACGACGACACAGTATGGATCGAGAATATATTGGAGTAGAATGCTTTCAGCAAAACGAATCATGTCCAATGCGAGATAGGGGATCGCAAGTAGTACCTCCCTTTGTAGTGGCTTGAGGACCATGGAGATGCTTGCGTCTGGAAGGTCAACTCTACACTTGTTTACCAACCCAACTAGATGGTTAAGACAAATGTTGAAAAGACACAAAGCAATTAGGGCATATCACTCTCCCAGAAACATTCACACATCACTCAAAGCAAGTGGCTACCCCAAGTAGAGCTTTCAAGATGGTCTATACCACCCTTGTTCAATTCAATAACCTATAAAAGCATTGTACACGGCTTCTTGAAATCACTGCCATGAAACCTGCCTGCCTGACTGCCTGCTGCCTTTGACCTTGGGCTTGCCTGCCTGCCTGCCTTCTGTAAGTACCGACCTTGACGCCAGATAAACACGCATAAAAGGGGCATCAGACAATTGCACAAAAGTATTAAGATAGAGAGAGCGGCAGGCTCTGAACTTTCCTCCCACACGGCCCTCCTGGTATACGACGGTGGCCAGCACATCTTTCTTTCGAGAGTGGTGAATTTTTATCAAGTGTAATTTTGGTCGTTGTTCGAGATTATTGCGTAGGTGAAGAAGGGGCTTCGCTGGTGTGTCCTCCAGCGAGCTATTAAGACAAAGTCGTGGTCCGAGTTGGCTCCTCACATGATAATGGCGGGGATGTCAACGTTGGCCTTGATCGACTTGTGAGGGAGGACGCTGCCACCGTTGACGTAGATCTCGTCACCGATTGTCACGTCGTCGCCCAGGACTGTCACGTTCTCGAGGCGAGCCCATCGGCCAACAGTGCTGTTCCAGCCAACGATGGTGGACTTGACCCAGGCGTGGTCCTTGACCTTGGATCCGCGGAGCAGCACACATCGCTGCAGACGGACACCGTCGCCAATAACAACATCGGGGCCAACAGTGACGTTGGGTCCGATTCTGCAGTTCTTGCCAATCTTGGCCGAGGGGTGAATCATGACGTTGCCACCGTGAACGAAGGGCTCGGTGGGGGGAGTGAGCTCCTTGCTACCCCGCTTAGTGAGCGAGGAGAGGTACAGGCATGTACCGCTGAGGAAATCCTTGGGCTGACCAACGTCCATCCAGAAGCCCTCGAGGTCGAACGAGTGCAGCTGGTTGTCGCGGACCATGGCGGGGAAGGTCTCCTTCTCGATCGAAGTCGGGCGGAGCTCGATACGGTCGAGGATGGAGGTGTTGAAGATGTACATGCCAGCGTTGATGCGGTTGCCGACAAACTCGACGGGCTTCTCGACGAATCGGTCGATCAGCGTGCGGTGGCCGGGCTGGTGGACAACAACACCATACTTGGAGGGCTCCTCGACCTTGGTGACGACGATGGTACCCTCGGCTCCGTGGTTCTTGTGGAAGGCCAGGAGGTCCTGGAAGGGGTAATCGCAGATGACGTCCGAGTTGAGGACGAAGAAGGGGGAGTCGTCCTTGGCGAGGATGGACTCTGCGAGCTTCAGGGGTCCGGCGGTGTCGAGGGGCTCAGACTCGACAGAGAACTCAATGTTGATGTTGTACTTTTCCTCATACTGCAGCGCACGTCAGCCCACATCTTTTGCATGTGCAATGGTTGATCTCTATCTTACCTCGGCCAGGAACTTCTCCATGATCTCGGGTCGGTAGTTGACAGCGAGCACGATGTCAGTAACGCCAGCTGCGACCAGCGCCTCGATTTGGTGCACGATCATGGGCTTGTTGCCGAACTCGACAAGAGGCTTGGGGAGGGTGAGGGTCTATCGCAGAGCTGTCAGCGTTTCGCTCGACGAGGCGAGAGGAGCTTGGCGCAAGCTTTGCGCAGGTCGGTCAGGGAGCTCCGAGGGGTCAACGTACGAGAGGGCGAAGGCGAGTGCCGAAGCCACCGACAAGAATAAGTCCTGGAAAAGGTCAGCGTGCTGAAAGAACCTCATGAAGCTACACGAGCTCCACGGCCTGAGACATACCCTTCATGATTGCGGTGTTGAGAAACTGCTACGTATGCGAATCGGCCCCAAGGCAAAGGGGTAACAGTGAATGTAAGAACAGAGAGCGACAAGCAGCGAGGTCCCGAAAGGAAGGGAAGCAACCTCGACAGGATTAGATTAGAAAAGAGGTAAACGGTATCGATAGATCGTGAGTGAGGGAGGAAGAATAAGTCGTCAGTCAAGCTCAGAGAGGGAAGAAGAAGAAAAAGAAGAAAAGAGATCGAGCAGGCAGAGGCGCGACTTTGAATTCAGGAGGGAATGGGTATGGATCGAAGTGGGGATGTTAAGGCCAGCGTGCTAAGATGGATGGTTGCAGGCTGAGGAGTTGATGGGCTACGGAGGGGGTGGGGCCGCTGAGGGCCAGTGCCAGCCTGCGCAGGCACAGGTGGGCAGGGGGCACGCTCTCAGAAGGGTAGGTACCTGCGCCTCGTACTGACCGGGTGCATCCTCCCAGCAGATCTCGTAAATTCTATAGGGCCTCTTGTAACTGAGATGCGCTGTATGGGACTGCAAATCCACAAACAAGCATCCATGGCATACGTAGTATGCATTCGCTGGCTTTTGATGCATGTTTCGTCTTACACGATGTTATTTATGTCTAAAAAAGACGGGATGGTTCAGCCCAACCCCTCCTCCAAAGACACAGCTCTTGTTTTGTCAACTCGTTTCCAATATCAACCACAAACTTCAAGATTACCTACCCATCCACATCCCGTCCATCGTTTGGCACTAGTGGCCGCCTACGCCTCACGGGGCAGACGGGCCAAACGCGCGGGCGAAGCTCGACACGAGGCCCCGTGATGAGAGGTTGTTGGAAAGGGGTCCCGGGACGCCAATCACGGCCACCAGGCGGGGCGGTTGTGGCTCGACAGCCATTTCCCGAAATTGGGCGTCATATTTTCAATAGAGCGCGATGTTTTACCCCTGATGGTTATGGTGAATTGCGCGCTTCCGTGCTTCTGGAAGGACTAATAATCAATCTCTAACGCAGTCCAGACGGATGTGACCGCTTCAGCCGCGGGTGATTGCATCCAAGTAATGAGCGTAATGTAATATCACCAGTCATCAACGCCAACGAACGACAAAGCTCCATTCCCCTGGATCCAATCCAATAACTCCCTTCTCTACATCGGACAAGGCGGTTGCCGCTTATTGGTGATCTAGGTCCAAGTTTCAGACTAGCTAATTCTTTCAATGTGAATTTTCTCCTTTTTCCTTTTTTTTCTCTCTTACCTCTTCCCATGTCTCTTTAATCTTGCCTCCTTTTTTTTCGTCATGTCTCATGTTTACCATCGTCATGAGGCCTGTCTTGTCTGGTCTGAGTGGCCTCAGCCCAGTGGCACCATGTCCCCTTACTTTTTCTTATTCAGGAGGCGGCCACTTGGCCTTTCACGAGCTGTTATTCCCGTCTTTAACACTACAACCCCTGGTCCAGACCCTGGGATTCAATTTACTTGTTTGCCATTTCGTGTTGATGCATTGCATCGTGCTCCTGACCCCATCATATCGACATCTGATCTTGCCAATTAGCTCCCGCTGATTGGGGCCTCTTTGCCTCTCTTATGCTTCAAGCTTCTCGTAACGACGCGGCAATCTCGTAATCCCCTCCAAATTTATCCCACACTTCACCCATAACCACGCCATCTCGCTTGAACTCCATCTCGCGGGGGCGCCATGTCGTCCAGTAGACCACGACTACCCTCCTCAGCCTCAAAACCCCCCCGTCTGACACGTCCACTCACATCATCCTGCATCTCGCGACCCCACGAAAAAGCTGGACAGATCTTCCTGTTGTCTACTCCCTCATCTGGTCTAGCCTCGTCGTCCGTCTTATCCTGAAGGCTGTCAGTTAGAGTCCCATGACCGCGCAGCAGCTGTCTTTTAATAAACTTTGCCTCAAGGGTGGGAGCACGAGGACGACATTGGCAGGCAATGGCGATCTTTTGCTGGTGCTGATCAATGGTCCTTTGTTTCACAGCAGTGCCACGACACCCCAGACGTCATCGCTAAAGACCTGGGCGGCTAGGTCTGAGACTAACATGGTGGACGTCGTCAAGGTGTTTAGCTATGCAGACCTCGGCTTCATGAAATCACCACTAGAACATGTCTTGCATGAATCTTGGTGATATTGAGCCATTCATAAACTCATCTACCCTGCAACGACTCGGCGATTCTATTTTAGCTTTGGTTCATCTCATTGACGAACCCATGTATCTTGAACACACATGAGACATTCAGGGTGTTCATTAAGCTGAACACTCCTCAACCTGAGAAACTTCCGGCCCTTCTCATTCCTGCTAGAAGAGCCGGAACTTATTTCAAAGGCATCTCCAACCAGGAAGCACCATGTCTCACCAACCGCTCATTCTCTCAGCCAGCCGCACTCAACTTGGCTTACTCCCCTTCATCTCTGGCACGAACCACTGTGTCTGGCATGTACGTACGTACATCAAAGTTTCGGAAAAAGCAACTCTATCCACATTGATCCTGGTGTCTCTCTAATCAAGGGTTTATTTCCCCACGTTTCGGTACACCTCATCGAGTGCAGCGGCCCACCCTAGCTCCTGAGTCGAAATGGTTGATGGCCGTGCTGACATGATCCGGGTTGGGTTCTCATGTAAGTGAGAACCATGGTGGACCGGTGTGTACGCGAAATATTGACATGTATAATAAAGACACGCCTGTTGTTGCTGAGGCTGACTTCCTTTCCCAATGTAAGCATCTTACATCCATCCCGTGTACTCATCAATCTGCACCACTAGAAGACACGGCATAGACTCTCCGTCTCTACCGACAGCAGGTACAAGTAAAAAAGGTCGTTATCATTGTCGTCGTTAAAATATCTTGTCATCATACTCCATCACTGTCCATACTCGAACTCGTCACATCATCCTCTTCATCCCACATTGTTCAACCGTAAACAACAAAAAAGTCAACGCTGGCTTCCCCGATGCACAAACTTTTCCCCTTTGCAGCACAGTTCGTCCTTCATCTTGGATCATCAAACCCCGGGAAAAATAGCAACCCAAAGTTGCTCGTCAAGCCTGCCCCTCGACCATTTTTGATGATAAAAAGCCCTGGCAAAATTCTGATACAAGGATGCTTTTTCTCTCTCTCTCATTTTGGTTGTTTTGTCGTAAGCTGATCGTACCTGGCGTGTAAAGGCCGGGCTGGCTTGAAATCGTGAAAAGAATCTACCCTCCCCTGTGAATGGCGTCGTAGAATCGTCGAGCTTTTTGTCCAAACGCAGACTTTTCCATTCCATCTTTTTTTCTTTTTGTTGGTCACCTCCCTTAACTAAATGACCACCCTGAAAAATCCCGCAGGAAACAATCGTGGTGTGCCAGTATCGCTGGAAGAAGTATTCTCATAACGCCCATGTCGGTGACCACGTCATGAGCTCTGAGTGATGGACACCCACCCAAACCGGACCGAATATTCAAGGTTTCGTCAAGGCAAAGGAAAATAGGAATAGATGTGAACAAGAGAATAACGTAGGTGAAAAATCAGTCCAATCTCGTGTGAGAAGCAAATGACGCAAGGTAGGTAAAAGCAAAGTCGCATATGCCGGCCGTCGGAGTGAAGCTGCATCTAAGTCGTATCATATCATCATGAGTCGTTGAAAAATGGCGAGAGGGTTTGGAGGCGCGAGTCGCCTTGTCTCTTGCCGAAAGAAGAGAAGAAAACAGAAAATGAAGAAGATGATGAAGAAAGTCGAGGATTCTTCCTTGAGTCTCGTGAGAGAGGTTGCCGAGGGAGTTCGGTGTGGGTATATCCCTCGGGGTAGCTGTGAAGCATTTCAACCGCTTGTAAGTCGTCTTTTGCCTGGGCTCCTTTCCCCTGTGCTTCCAAGCATGGTTTCACGTGAGTGACTTCCATGCCCATCTAAGCCCGTTGGTGTACTATCAACTTGGACCCGAATAACCGTCGTGAGCTGCACCTGTATCGTGGCAGCTTCTACTCGAACGAGGCTGTCGAGCTACTGCTCGAGTGATGACCTGATCGTCGACTGTGGCGGTCACTGTCCCGGGATGAAGTGTGACGACTCTTGCGGCGGCGGCCCGAGTCCTGAGCAGGCAGGCCCTGGACGATGCCGTTGCGGGCCAGCATGCCTCCGTTGACAGAAAAGTTGCGACAGACCATAAAGGCACGCATGGCAGCGTTCTCCTGAGCAAGAACGTCAGACTCGTAGGCGAGATCCGTCTGGTACTCGCGGCCGTTGACCAGGACAAGACAAGTGTAGCCGCTGTGGTCCCGGTAGCACTCGTACATGGGGTCTGTCCATCCTCGACGCCGGCAGAGGCCTGTTTGAAATCTTGGTTAGCAAAGAGTCCCTTCTTCTTTGTGTCTGAATAGGCACTCGGCCATGGGGAAAGCTCATGGTCGAATGGCGTCAGTCTCGTCGTCATGCCAACGCGAGACTTGGAGGCCTAAATCTCCCAAGGTCTGGCTTTGCCATGATCCCTCGACAAAAATTGACGCAGTGGCATGGTCCAACTTGGACTCAATGTTGTGAGTCGAGGTATAACCGGGAGATATGCCGTTGTCCCCGCCACTTCGGCGTCAAAGAGTCACCACAGGCGGGGGAACTTGGTTTCACCCAGCGAGTGATGAATCAATTGCCGATGGCTGGACCGGAATTGACTTCTCAAAAGGGGCTAGATTGATTCATTGACCAACTTACTCTCGAGATACTGCATGTAGAAACCGCCCATTGTGATTTTTTGTGTGGTGGCGTTCACCGAGCTGCGCCGGAGCGTCGAGGCCGAGGACGGTTGCGGTTGAAGGAGGATGGAGCGGAAAAGTGGAAACCGAGCTTGTAAGAGCGCGCCTCTGATGCGGGAGACCAACCAGTGTGGGACAGGCCGGAGAGGGGGGGGGGGGTTCGGAGGGGAGAAAAAAAAAATAAGAAGAATAATGGCAGAGTAAAAAATAGATCAAGAACGCTTGTCTAGAAACCAGAAAAACAGCGATGAACGCAGAGAGAGAGGCCAAGAGTATGATCCAATTCCGTTTGGTTCACCCAAGAATCGAGCTCGAGACGAGGACAAGGCGGAGGCGGACAGAGGTGGAGGAGGCGACGGGATATCAAAGGGCGATTCAAGGTGGCAGGATGCGAGGTAGACAATGAATATTGTAGAATTGAGACTGGAAAGATCCTGGTGAATGCTCAATGCCTGCTTCTGGAGGACAGAGATGCAAAAAAGGCGTTCAGGGTCCTGTCAAATTGGCTTCGAGTCGTGTGCCGTGGAGGTAGGTAGGGGGGGCCCTGGTGGGTGCGAGCGAGATGGGATGGATGGGTGGTGGTGGAGGATAGAATAGATGGGATAGAAGATGGAGAACAAGAACGAGAGCGAGCGAGGAAGAAGGTTTTGAAGCAGATCAGGGCAGAGACGAAGGAAGCTTCAAGATAAGAAAGGGTTCGGGAGAAGGGTCCAGTAAGTACTGTATGTACCGTAGGTAAGGATACCGGCCGGATAGGATACCTTGCCTTGCTTGGTCTTGTCAAAAGCTCCGTCCGTCGCGACCTGACTGACTGACCTGCGAGTGCATTCTGCTGCAGACGAGACGAGTCGAGCCGATGGCACGGCGAGACATGTGTGCCTTTATTGCAGACAGCTTGTTAGCGCGGGGACAGGGGGTGTCTGGAGACAAAGGACGACGCGCGAATGGAGGCAGATGCAAGCAACGATGCGGCTCTCGAAAGAGTGTGACCCATCTTTGCTGTGTTGGCCTACCTGGTTGCCAGTTGATCAAAGTCGCTGGCGACTAGGCCACTCCACCGGAACACATGGAGGATGCAGCGACCAGGCGATCTCTGATTCCCAAAGTTAACGCCTTCGGCCACCGGCGTACCACGAAGGGACCTAGTACGTTCCATTTTTTTCTCCTCCTCCCGGGTCCGTCTCCTCTCTCGGTTTTTTTTTGTTATTGTTTTGTTTCCCTTTCAGAGTCTTTTTTTTTTATTCCAGCAAGGCCTCTTGCGCCAAACTCTATGCTCTCGCTTGCCCCCATCCCCCTCTCACCGTGCAGCCCCCCCCGATGCTACCGGCCTACTCTTCCATCCGTGTCCGGCCGTGCTGCTGCTGCGTAGATAGACAAGAGGGCATGATGGCATGGCCTTAGGAATGGGGGGCGATGGGGCCAGTCAGGGCCCGGTCTGCGAAGCTCATGCAGACACGCGATTGAAGATGCATCACTACGACATGGCAGCAATTTCCAACTTGCTTTAGCTTCAAGTCAGGTGGCGAGGACGGCTTCACCTCAGTGGCTCGGAGCGGGTAACTCGTTTCTGGTCGTCCAGTCCATCAGGTCAAGCACCTCGAAGGAAGGATCAAGACGTCGAGGGGCGAAATGACCTGCAGCCATCAGGTACTGTAGACAAAGCGATGCGATACCAACACCTACCTACATCAACAACAAGACAAGACAAGCAGGACAGGATGTGCCTGGCTCACTGCCACCATCTGGACCTCCGAGATCTCTGCTTTGGCGGCCACTAATGCATAGCAACCAGCCCAAAGTACCAGCTTGTATAACAGTAGAGCCAGAGGCTGGACGGCGAGGGCCACCGGCCAGCACCAGCACCAGCACCAACCCACACCCGGTCCCCTCCCCTCGAGCGCCGAGAGCCCCGCGGCCGGAGCTGCTGCAGGGCACCTCGGCCTGTCCAAGGTACCTTCATACTGTAGCTGCCCTGCCAGGCCATTGCCATCAGTGCCGCAGCCAACTGGAAGCGGAAATTCTCAGGACCGGGGATTGACATCTGCTAGGATCTTGTTCTTGATCCTCGTCTGTCTGTCGCGCGCGAAATGGGCGGCCAAGTTGTGCGGCCTAGTCAAGGGACTAGAGTGTTGCGCTGGGGCCAGGCGACAGCGACTCAGTGAAAGCGGGCCACGTTCTCAACTCCATGTGGCGGTTGCGAATGTGTACGATTCGTACCCAGTAAACTTCACAAAGCGCGCGGGTCCTTGAGGCATATTAGAGGTTCAAGGGAGATTTGAGGACGTGCCTGGCTGATCAGCTGCGGGAAGGTATTCAGTCTCTCCCCTCGAGATAAGCGAGAGACCATACAAGTGTCGAGTCCGAAATAGCAACATGGAGAGCGGAGTTCCATCATGATGCACTGCACGCGAGTAAACTTTTGGCTGCAGTCTCAGTGGCCTGGTTGTCGGCCGTCGAAGAAGAAGAAGCACAGGGCAGCGAACAAAGACGACGATGCCATGAGCAGAGTAACTCAATAGTGACACCACACGGAGCAGCCAGTCAAGCCGGTCGACGACAGTCCACTTTCTGCTTCCCACTCCCTCCCTCCCCCAGCCCAGGGCCCCAAGGAAAGGGTCGGTGAAGCAGCGCGACGACGTGCATGAACAGGACAGTCAGTGGCTGGCCCCTCTGCCAGTGGACCAACGACCATGATCCCTCTCATCCCTGCCCACCATGCCCTGTGCCATGCATCCACCGGCGCGGGTGTGTGGGTGCCGCCGTTAGGGCTGTCCCCAGCAACGCAGCGCAGCAGCAGAGGCAGCGAGGCAGCAGCAGAAGAAGCAGGCGAGCATCAGCATGCCTCCCTCCCCATGGAGAAGGGAAGAAAACGGTGAAAACAGCATGATTGATTGGACACTGGATGATGCTCTTCCTGATGCAGCCTCGATATGGTGTGGCCAGAGGGTGTGTGCATTGCAGATTTGGCAGCCCGGGAGTGCAGCTCGCTCGATTGAAGAATCATATGTGAGAAGCGAAAAAGGCTTGGGTGCACTGGGGTAAGCCAAGTGGCAGAGAGGCCTGTGCATGGCATGGCAGTGAGATGTGGCCAGGATTCATTCATCCATGGACTGGACTGGACGGACGGGCAGTCTGTGTTGAGGAGGGGAAGCAGCTGGAGCGTCCGAACTCCGTGCTTGCCTTAGCTACAGTATGGGTAAGGGAGGGGGAGGGGAAGCGGATGGCAAGAGGGACCACGCAAGAGGCGCGAGACAACGACTAGAGTGAGGGAAGAAAGGAAGAGGGCAGGTACTGTCTGTACAGTGTAAGCCTGTCTAGTTGGGAAAGTAGGCTGGGTCGAAGGCCAGAGGGCAGGCAGACGAAACGGGAGGCAGGCAGGCCTTGGGGCCAGCCCCTACTAACCTTCATGCAATGATGAGTTGGCAATGCTTGCTTGTCGATGTTAATAAAAACAACATCAATAACAAGACTGGAACCTCGAGAGACGGCTCCGAGTAGCGGGACGTACTTGCTTGCGCCGGTCAACGCGGGGTACCGACCGTACCTTTCCTGACCTCAACTCCCCTTGTTCTCTCGTCAATCGGCCGGTACAACCACAACCGCCACCACCACAAGCATCCCAAGAGGTTGCCTCTTGATCACCGATTTACCCAGCCACAAGCACAAACGCCAGGAGAGGTTGTCCCGTCCTTCGCAAACCTAAGGGCTTTCTTGATGGTCAGAGGCATTATCCTGCTCTGAACCGATAATTCTACTCGGACAAAGACACGACGGTACTCTCCGCCACTTTCCGCATCGCTCCCTCTACCCAGTGACAGTTCAGTCTTCTTAGTTCACTAGGCCTGAGCTAACTATCGAGAAACTCTCTAAACAGACGGCTCGCCGAGAAGCGCTGCAAGATGGCCATTGGGCGCGTTTGCTCACAGCAGGGATGCCGAATCTCGTCGAGAGCTTGGTGGGTTCTGTTCTGTGAGTTCGAGTGGGCTTTGTGGAGGACAAGGGAGTTCCATCCAACCCGGGCCATGACGGAGCTTGAGCTTCCAACGGCGAACGGCGATTCGACAATTGGAACTCTTCCAGAATTCCACCTTGGGGCCGCTAGTTTGCTCTGACGTGACGACCACCGAAATCCCATGACACATGCCTCCACGCCCCACGAAGTTGTCCACCAAATTGGAACAAGATGGTCGGTGTTCTGAGCGTTTTGGGTTTGGGCTCTGGCCCCGTCGCTTAAAACAAGTTGAAGCAGAAACTCTGATAACCGCCAGCGACAAAAAAAGACGTGCTACGCGCCGTGGTCGCCCCGTTACAGTGCTTTACCTTGGGCGTATCGCCCATTGCGTTACAGGATATCCGCAAGCGAAATTAATCGAGGCGGCTGTCCAGCCGTAAGGGTTAGCAGAAACAAAAACAATACCAAACGACATCCAGAAAATTTCCGCGCATCGTGGCGAGCATGTTGCGGGTCTTGCTGTGCCGTTTCAACCCTGGAGGTTGGACAACCGCACCGCACCGCACCGCGAGACCAGACCAGCGTGAGATCGCTCGCGGCGTGAAGGAAAAACCTCCACTGAGAGGGCCCAACCTGCGGCCGCTCCTGGGGCGGGCTTGGCACACCTGCCAGGCGCGACGGATGTGGTTCCCACGGCCTCCCGTTGCTTTTTTGTCATCAGTTAGCCTCTTCCTTCTTCCGACGGTGCCTTTGTCTCTGCATACTGCCAAGAGAGGTTGGATGAGGGGCGCGATGAGGGGCACATCAACCAGAAATGCCGATGATGATGATGATGGACAATGACGACGAGGGGCAGCGGAACTGCACATGACGGGTCACTTCGATTCCCATCTGCTTGTCAGGCCTCCGAGGGGCTCCTGAATTGACGGTTTGGCATATCCCCTCGACGACGAGGTTCCGTACACTGGGTACTTTCAAGTATCCTTCAAGTCAAGCGCCTTCCGGATCGACGGCTGGTAAAACTGGCCAATCCCACCAAAACAGACGGCAGCACTCGAATTTGATGGCTGGGTCCGGTTGAAAATGCAATTCGAGTGTGTCTATTCCCAGTTGATGGACTGCAAGGTTCCCTGCGAAGGAGGCCTGGTTCGAAATGCTATATTCCTACAACGACAGACAACTTAAAAGACACATTACATTGCAAGGCCAGGACAATTACGCACTCTGGACTGCCTTCAATTCAACTAGTAGCATGACTACTGCAAAGATCGACTCCCTCAGCCTATCTTTCGCAACCGTCTGTGTTGGTCCTTGTTGTGGTGACCTTTCATGGATAAGGCTTGCGGAAACGCCCGCCTGACGGGGGACCAGGATATGAACTCTGTTAGAGTGGGTAATAACAAACGGCCAAGGGCATTGACGAGCGATCGCTGCCTCCAGAGTCTTGGTTTCGGGCATGGCCACAGCTACCTTGCGACCAAAGTGTTAACCGGCATTCAGCTCTCTTCAGCATCATTTTGAGCATCACAGGCAGGGACCAGCTCGCTTATGCCCTTGCGGGCGATCTCTTTCTTGCGGCCCCTCCTCAGATATTCCCCAGTTAATTCTCCGTACGGATCGAAAGCAGCTTCATTGGAAGGCAATGAGGCCATACGAACATCACTCAGGAACATGCTACGTATAGCAAGAGACATGAAACTTAACAGGCCAAGATGGAATCATGTTGAAACGAACCACTCGATTCAACAACGCATGTCGGTCGGGGTTGAGACAGGGCCGTGGGGTTGTCTCAGCATCCATGCCTGCTGTTGACCGTTAAAAGGACCCTGTTTTGTGGTCCCCACAGAATTCACGGTGGAGTGGATACGACAATGCACGTAATCGCAAAGAAGACTCGCTGCATTTGTGGGTGCTTGTACTTGGGGGCGAGAAAGGCCGCCTGGGATGTTGATGTTGTACTGCTTGTACTATCAGAAAGCACCGAGTTCACCCCTGAACTGACCGAATTCCAGACCCGAGGCGGCGATACCCAGAGAGGCCATCCAAGAGAAGCGCCCATAACCTGCCGTGCCGTGTCTCGGCTTCCATCTCTTCCATGTACGCCACAATCGAGGGCCGCGTCCCAAGTATCCCCCTTGTCCTATGTACTTTGAGTCCAGCCTCTTGCATCGACGTTTCTTCTCTCACACACGCACCTCGGTACACAGAGATGGGCATGGGCATAGGCAGTCTGGCTGCAATGCAGGTATGCACCAGACCTGGTTGCTTGAGATGCGGCCACAGACCGCAGTGCAGAGGCGGGGGCGCGGCGGTGGCCACATACGGCCCGCCGTTCAGAGGGCTGACCTCCGGGCAACGAGACATTCGTCCACCGGACGCCATTGACATGTACGAGTCTCAATCCCGAGGTCTGGCCTGATACGCGAGGCGGTCTGCGGAATGAGCCTGCGAGTTTATGTGTGTGTGTGTGCGTGTGTGTGTGCCGTGGGTTAGGTCAGTCAAACCCAGGGCACGCTGTCAGAGCCTGATATCAGCGTTCTCATACCACGCTTTCACCCACATTTGCACAGAAACCACTTTAAATCTCGCACCGAGTCGGGAGGCTGGTAAAAGAAGGACGTCAATATCCCATGCTCATGCCATGATATGCGCCCTCATCGAGACCCGTCCACATCGCAGTGGGCAGAAGCAACGTGACTGAAAACAGGTGGAGCAGAGTTCAAAATGCTGCACACAGGATCCATGGCCTCCAAGGGCCCAGTCCTAGACTTTTGGATGCCGAGAAGCATGGGCCCGGCCCTGGCCTCGAGATGATGCGCAGACCCTGCAACTGCTACCGTCGTGGTCGTATGGCGTGGGATCACCGTCCTCCCTCTACCAGCAAGATCATGTGCATCCGGACATCCCAGAAGAACGAAGGAAATGGTAACCACTGTTGGTTTCCAATCTCAACCTTGAGCAAGATCCCTGCCTTCTCCAGACGATGCGCTGTCAGTTGGTCATGCCTGTTGACGTTATGACACCATGAGGGTTTACATGGATTGGTGTTTGCCCTCGTTTCCCAGCCCTCTCGGACATCCACCGCCCTTGAGAACCATCTGGCCATGCTGTCGACATGTAGGTAGGTGCGGATGGGGTTCCTCATCTGGTGGCCGGGGCCCACGAGTCGGTCGGAAATTCACTGATGCATGCAGCCGGTTGCCTGCCTGTTGTGGATGCCTGTGCTGTATCTCTGATTCAAGATGGATAAGCATCGGTCTAGTCTGTCATACCTCGACGACGCAGACGCCATGTCGTGCTTTGGCCACCAGCCATCCATCCACCTTGGGACGACCAATCCTCGATCTGGCTGAACCAAGTCGCCATGAGTCAACTGAGATCTGAGTTTCCGCACGGCCAAGAGTTGATCCGACCATGTATTGGTATCAACAATATTGACAGACATTGATGGTTAACCATAGACTGCAAATGGCAGAAAGACAAGGACCGGCCATCTCAACGCGGTAAAGAGAACAAGCAAGGAAATCAACTGCCCCGCCACTCGTAATTGCACTCAATCATGTCTCGTTTCTCATGGCATCCATACCAAAACTCTCTCAGCCCGACTTGGACAGGGATCCCTCCGCGTCATCAAATCCAGCTGGCACAGGCGAGGCGCCGCTTGGCAATCAAAAGCCGTGTTTGGATGCAAAGTAGTTCTGGATCTCTTCCACCTTGTGCTTGGGGATAACGTAGACGGGGTGCACCGTGGCGACGCGATCCTCCTCGTCAAATATCTGTTCGCCTTCCATATAAGGTGACACAGACCATGAATCTCCCGCCACAATTGCCTCGTGGGTGCGAGCAGAAACAAGGTCCCACTTGTGCTGCGCTGAACTCAGGCCGGAGAGCACATAGCAAGTATGGTAGGCGTCCGAGTACCTATTTGTTGGGCTGGGTTTAGCGCTCACCGAAAATAACGAGATGCAGGAGGGGAGTTACATACTTGCTCGGTTTGTCTCTCAGCCCACCCCGTTTAGACTGGTCCTGGCAGCAGCAGAGAATGTAGCGGATCAAGCCGTCGCGGCTGAAGAGGCTATCCCTTGCGGCAGGGAGCGGGTGGCCGCCAGAAACGGCCGCCGCCTCCCCTCCGGGCCCGTTGAGGGCGGCCTCGATCAGGGGCCAGCAACCTCCGACCCAGTGGCTGTAGCAACCGTCGACAAGCTTGTTGGTACGACCCGAGAAACCGCCCTCGGGGGCGTACTGACGGGAAGACAACCAAGAGATAAGCAGTGGAACGTCGAGATAGCTGGAGAAGGGGACGATCAGGTCTGGGTCAGCATGCAATGCTCCCATGTCACCACTTCAGTGGGTAGGCCATCGTGGGCCTGGGGGGAACAACAGAGACATACCGCGGGATGGCTCGATGTGGAGAATCGAGGATGGAGAGGCATCCGAGGGCGCAAAAGGCATATGCACCATGTGCTTCAACGCCCGGCTTTGCCGACACGCCGCCCTCGTACGTTTGGCCTTATTGGTGAGCGATCAGAGAGCGGGAACGACTTTTGGGCCTTGTGCATCACCTACATTGGCGTACATAATCGGCGAGGCCTGTGAACAGACCAGTGTGGCCAGCGGAGCGTGCTGGCGAGTCCTGTGACAGCTCGAGAGGGATGTTGAGGAGCGAGATGATGACGGACGCGCAGTAGGCCCCCCTGCAACAAGATCAGTCAGGAGGAGACAAGACATACGAAAGGGATCGGATATGGGTAGGATCTCCAGGCTTGACGGCCGGGGTGGAAGGTGGAAGGTGGAAGAGGGACTGCGGGCCTTGACAGCCGGCAGTGAGTGCTACAGTGCATACCTGACATCCTCCTCGCCGCCAAGGGCCATCTGGAAGCCCCCGTCGGGCTGCTTGAGGGAGCATAGCCATCTCCACATGGCACGGCGGTCGACAACGTCGTAGCTGTCCTCGCCGCCGACTAGGGCCAGCGACAGGACGGTTGCATAAGTGGTGGCGAGATGCGACGTCTGGCCGAAGCCGCCAGCGAAGCCGCCGTCGGGGTTCTGCATGGGGCGGACCGTGTCGACGAGGCTCTGGCGATACGACGACACATCCTCGCCCAGGAGGGAGAGTGCGGCGAGGCACCAGTAGAAGATCCAGGGACGGCTGGGGTCGGCGGACATGAAGCCTCCCGGCAGCTTTCCAAGCTGCTTATGCAGGAAGTTGACATGGCGGCGGCGGTCCAGATGGGGCAGCCCGTGGGAGTTGCAGGACGAGTGTTCCTGGCCGTTGAGGAAGGGTAGACATTCGTCAACGGTAGCGTCCTGCACGCGCGACGACTCTGTGAACAAGTCGTCACGGATGAGGGGCTCCGAGGTGAAGATTTGGGGGATAGAGGGCTCAAGCCCAGGCTGCGGCGCACTTGCTGCTGCTGCGGCTGCCATCTTGATGTTGGTGGTCTTGTTTGTGTTGACGCCTGTGGTGGTGTTGTTGCTGTTGCTGTTGCCGTGTGAAAAGATGACGCGTGGTCGAGGACGGATAAGACGAGCTCTCGATCTCATCACGCAGCTGATGGGGTTTTCCTTTGTTTTGAAGTCGGCATCGGCGAGGATTCACCCCCTCTTCTCGTTGATATTGTTCTCCAAGCCATGGATCACCAGAGCGTCGATGCAGACAGGGTAGGGTACTCACCCCCACAAAACCAAGTGGATTGTCGTCGTGTGAGCCCGTCGTCTCCGCTTCTTCCTCGGTTATCAATTCTGAGCCAATCACCAGGCTCAAACACCCTTGAGACAGACAACAAAGATGGATGAGTTTGATGGAAGTGTTGGATCATGGTTCAGATGATTGCGGGAGATGAAGCAAACATGTCGAGATTTCCTTTCATGTTTCTACGTGGCCAAAGCTTGACACATGAGAGTTGGCGCAATCCTGTCATCTAATAGCCTTGCTCCTGGAGCTGGGTCAAACAACTCTAACATGGCACGGTTATTTGTTTGAGTTTTGAGCGCGGGTATTTGCTAATTAACCCATGATTGGCTCTGTCTTGCAGTCTTGCGGTTGAGTGTCAAAGCCCTGGGCTCGACAAGAATGAATGACACTTACGCACTTGTGGGAGAGGGATGAATAACCTTGCAGTTGAGAGCATGTTTGTTGAATCTTTAATTATCACCTTTCATGTTTATCGTGTTTATGACTTTCAATCTAAATTTGAGCCTTTCCATCAGAACCATGTGTTGCCGTTGTTCTACTGAACTCGCTGTTTCTTCTCCCTCCTGCGTCTCTTGTCCAACGTTTTACCACATAGACTATGTGACCCACCAACACAAAGATGCATATCAACAAAACTCACTACTTAAATCCATTTCGATAATGTGGTCGATTCAAGAAACTACGTTGGAAGTGTCAAACTGAGCAGCCCAAGCATTGTGGCCTACCCTATAGCACATCACCTCCGAACCATGCGAGACACCTAAGATGACGTTTTCTTTCATTTTGCAGCTCTATGTAGTTTTTTCAATGTCAGGAAATATTGTAAGAGCTTAATTAAAACGTTATTTACCATGATTGAGTGTGCGGTGTCGAAAGGATGCAGCATGGTTTGGGCATAAGAGCAACTCTAGGCGGACATCTTGACTTCTGCCTCGAACACTACAGACTGCCGAAATCCCAATACCTTTGTAGATGAGCAAGTTCCGACGGAAGTGTTACAATTTGAAGCTCATATCATGAAAACATCCACCATCGATACAAGCACACATTGCAACCCACACCCCCTCCCAACATCCAACTGGGTCATCACCAAGTCACATAACTATGTATAATGTGCAAGTCAAGACAAAACCGTTGAAAGAGGTTTTTATAAACATGGTTTGCTAGACATACTGGCTTAGAATACGGCAACTGCTCTGTGGTCATCATGGCCACAACTGAGAGAGAAGGGGGTTTGAGGAGCACTAGATGGATACGTGAGGGTAGTTGATGGTTACGATCTAGTGGCAGGCTACTCATAGTTTCTCTCTCTCCTTCGATTGAACATTTTTTGTTTGGCTCAATGGTTTACTTGGCCCAAGAGAGCGCCACTCAACATGTAAGGAAGATGATGATCCTGTCATGACCAAGTTTGACATGACGCCTGTCGAAGCAGAGTCATAGTAGTAACACATTCTACTTCACGGCGTTTTATGGTACCTGGTTTTATTCTCAAATGCCTTAATAGCTGTGTCTTTTGCTACTGGGGTTAATGACATCTGTTGGAGGCGTTATATATGAGAGAATAAGAATGTATTGATGGCTTTTTTTTTTTTTGTTATTGTAGCTGATGGCTTCTTTAGGAGACGCCATTGAGATCAACAGATCAAGTCACTACTAAAGACAAGCCGATTCAGAGATAAATTTAGTTAAGCTGAACAGTGAGGGTGAGTAGAAGAAACAAAAAAGCGTCAAACTTAGAGTCAGTACCCTTTTCATCGCAAGATATCTTAACAAGTTCAGACGAGCGGTCGTCAAGTTCCGGGGTCGGACCACGAGGTGTCTATTTCGCCTATCTTGCATAACGCCGAGATCAAACAGCAAGTACGACAAAGCAGAGACTGTCAAGTTGTATCATGCCACATTCAGCATCGAGGCAGAGGGAGTGTCAGGCATGAGGAGCAAAGAGGTAGTTTGCACACAACAGCGAGACCAAGTCCAACATCACATGACACTGAAGCTATAGAATATGTACTATTTCGTTTATCATTGCGATGTTTTCCTCATAAGTCTACGTAGTCTAGTCAATGGGATGCCTTACTAGTTGGAGACTTGACGTGCGCAAGCGGTGAACTTCTCGGGCATACCCGCATTCCTCCGATGACCGTAGAAGGTGTTTCGAGCATATTGTTCAAGTTAACCAAAGTCTAAACCCAATGGAGAGAAAGCTTGGCCGTCTGGGTAGGATCTTAAATATGACAACTCATGCCAAGACCTGGACGTCGTCGACTTACATGGTCCCCGTCCCCATCCGCACTTTCATCACCGACCCGTAAACACTAGTTTGGCAGCGGGAGTTCCACATATAGTGTGACGTTCCTAATTGAGGGTTTTGGGAGTTGTTGGAGAGCTTGATATTAGTTCTGTGTTCGTTTAGCAACCGCCGAGCATGACGATAACCCGGTCTCAACATGTGGATTTCAAGTTGCCAAACCTGGCTCCTTTCAGATTGGTTTCTGGATCCAGACTTTAGCCAGTGGAGTCGAGGCTCCGCTTGGAGTCAAGGGTATTTCGGAATTGGAGAAGTGAAGTGCCAAGAGTGCCCGAGGTCATGATGCCGCTGCACGCTCTCAAAAGTGGGTTTGGGTCCCCTTCACAAGCAAAAGCAAGAAAGCAGTCGACTCGGCTGGGGAGGATATGTGCTGACAGCTGCAACAATGATCCGAGGTTACGTCGTTTCAGTTCGGACCTTGTTGACCCGTGGGTTAGCTGGCCCAACGTGGCAGGTTGGGGTCGACGAGCAGGGAAGAGGTCTTGAAGTGATCTGGAGCGGTGATACAGTTCCGTGACCCCACGATGGATCTCTTTTCGTTCGGTTCACGACGGCTCTCCAGCAAAAACAAGAGTCAAGCTCGTCAGTAGCGTCATTAGTGGACGCTACGTGTACTGACCCTGAACCCTGCAAGCCGGAGCCTCATCTGATGCCGAGGTGGCAGCGCATGGGCACCTCCTTGAATCGACAACCGATATAATGACCGTCTCGACTCCGAGGAAGTGTTGGGTTGACTTTTGTATGCCCGAGAAGCAAGTGTCCGGATGCAATTGCCGGTATCAACGGGGTTCCGCGGCCGCCATGTGGAAATCGCCGAGATGCGACATTATTCTGCGCTCAAGACTGCGGCAGGAGTCGTCTCTAGTTGCAGACAAGATCTGGGAGATGAATGCTTACGACATGGCATTATCAACACGTTGGATGATGGGCGGTGGCGATGAAAGCCACAACGCAACGGCATCTCGGTTCGGCTCATGCTCGCGAATCTTGGTCCGAGGGTTGAGATCCATGGCATTGGATGGCACGGATCCATGTGCGGCAAGCGCGCCAGTCCAGGGATTAATGATTAATTAATCAGAGAAGAAAACATTCTCGCCTGGCTTGTCTTGTCTAGCGAGCTGAAGCGAAGTGAGCGATCCAGAGGAATGGTGCCTCGGATATTGAGGATTATAACCTCGTCGTGCCGAGTTATTGTAGGGCACATGTCGTCGTATTTACGAAGGAGGGACCGGCAGACGAGACGGACGACGCGGCGTGTGGTTGATGGAGGCGACGATCTCCCGGTGGGCGCTTAGGTTGGGCCAGCTCAGCTCGCTCGCTTGTTGAGTGTGTAACCAGGGCAATCACCAATTGCAGCGTCTCTCGCTCACTGCCCAGAGATGCCAGCGTTCCACAGAATGCTCGAATCCTCATTTTGATGGGCACAGAAGGAGTCGTGGCATCGGGGCAATGAAGATCAATATGAGGAGGGTGTCTTGATGTGGACGCCACCTCCACGTCTAGATTCCTGCCGTAATTGGTGTGTGTGTCTGTGTGCACCTTGTCTGGGCGGTTTGATGCGGCCCCAGAGTGAGGGGTTACGCAAGGGAAGGGATATTCACAAGTGTCGTGTCTTGAAGTCGATGGGACTGGGGTCAGCCCGGTTCAGTGCCTCTTGGCTGGTGTGGTCGACCCCGGATAGCATCATCGGTTTGCCCCAATCAGACGAGGGGTAAGGACAGCGTGCGATGCTTTGAAACAGGCTTCATCATGTCTGTAATGGCGATTACAGCCAAATATGTACGTCTGAGAAGCAAAAACACCAAAATTGGGTGGATTTGACCCCGGATACTGCTGAATCGAATTCCGGTGGATGTGGATGCGGAACCGGAACTCGAAGGCCGGATCGTCTTGCCGGTCCGTGGGGTGGGCGCCTGCACCTGCGCCTGCCTGCACTGCATAGCAACGACAACCACACATACGCGAGATGGATGGGAAGAAGAGGTGTGTGTGTGTGTGTGAGAAAATGTGTGTGCCCTCGCTTTCTAAAGGCAAAAAGAAAAAAGAATCATGTATATAGCAGGCAAGAGGGTATCATGAAAAAAAAGGGAAGGAGCTGCTGTCCAACGTCGGTGCTTCCTTCCAAAAGCTTAATTCACTACATCCGTCTTATATAAGGAAGGAACCAAAATCAGAGCCTCAACCTCAATATGTCCCCCTGGTCAGAGAAACACCACGCCTCGGATCCATTTCACATGCAACTATGGGGAAATCCCCTCTTTTTTTTTTATCCCTCGCCCTGGTCTCGTCTCGCCTCGCCTCCCCTCGCTGCTGAATCAAGTTTGCTTTTTTAAGAATGCTGGAATCTGAGCGGTTCGCTTTGCTGAGTAAGTACATGGGCTATAACCTCGGCCATGAAGCAGCACAACTATTTTCCCGCAC